AGGGTTAAAAGTGTAGAGCTAATTTCTGAGCCAATTGAAGGGGATGATACATCAACATGCCAAAAACTAGAAGAAACATATATCACCTGCTGAATATTGATCCTTAATTTACAACACTTACAGAAAATGTTTATTTAACATTGCACAACATTCGATCAAATCATTACCATCTGATTGCTGGTTTGTTGATCACATATCGTTGAATTATTTGTAACACCCTTCTCATCACGCGCAAGGACTTTGTTTGCTTTATTAGCAACCGGTGACCCACTTTTTTGTTGCTTTGCCAACGCCCTCCTTTTCTCCATGTTTAAAACCATTTTAGCATCAAATTCAGCACTCACTTTATTGCATGAACTGACCTCTGATTGTGACTGTGATATTGCATGATGCAGGATTCCCACTATCATCAGTAACCGTGTATGTCACAGTATGGTTGCCAATACCAAGGACAGGAGACCCAGATGGATTGGTAGTCACTGTCAATGATGTCACAGAGTTGTCACTTGTTGTTGCAGCAGGTAGAGTGACAGTGGTATTGGCTCGTCCAACATCAGTATACCTAATCAAGTCATCTGGGCACATGATTCTGGGATCCTCATTATCTAAAAACAAAGAAATGTTTACATTTACATTTATGCCCAGTCCTCAAAACTTGAAATTACAGAAATCCAAACACAGCATATTTACTTCATGAAAAATTCATACGAAAATGTTGCAACCTTCACAAAGACAAAGCAATGACACGAAAAAGAACTATGAGTCATGGGAAAAATTAACTGTATGTTTCATCTCTGACAGAAATGATATGATGAATTAAAAATCTCTATCAAGAAATAAGAATCTGAAGTCCTTATCATCAGCCTAGCTTCCCTTCTCATGACAATATATTTCCTAACCTGTAATGTTTTATTGTTTTATCTATCAAACATTGGTACAAATTCTATACAGATAATTTCAAAGAGCTTAGGAGGGATTCAATTTTTCTGTGATGAACGAATACCTCCAAAAATTGATTCACTATTATTCCAGGGAAATTTCTTAAATATTTTTGGACAACAGACAAATGTTGGTTATTTGCCGCACTGCCCTGCAAAAAGTTGTTAAGGCTGACCATTAAAGTTTGAAAAGCAGCTTGCAAAAGTCCATTCTTTAGAGCCATTAACCATCCCTGATTCTTGAAAAGTACACCAGAGGAAAACAATCAATTTGAAGCCAAACACAAAACACAATTTTTTGGGGGGGCTACTGTAATACCTATTACTACACCTCATAAATATTCATGAGCAAATCAGAGTGCGTCATTGGCTGATTCCACCTTGCGTCTGGGATATAGAAATGATATGCAACCAGGTGACGCCATACTGGTGAGTATCCACCTCACTGCCGTGTGGTATTTTTGTCTGGTAGCACCAAAAAAATCTCTCTGGAACCTGCCACGTAAATATGTAGTCTGTGTCATGTGATCTTTACGGAACCAGTCTGGAGTTGTATCCTAATAACTATTACAGTAAAGACCAAAAACATGTGTCAGCACCAGACTATTGAGGCCCTGTTGCTATGTACGTCTGCACTCGACTCGGACATGATGGAAATTTAGCAGCTGAGAAACAAAAATGGCATCTGTGAGCACAAGTAACGTTAGATTTCCATCTTTATCTGAACATGAACTAGAACTTATTGTGCTGAATAAAGACACAAAATCTACAAAGGCAGTTATTGACAAGGCAGCGAGGCTACTGGAAAAATACTGTCAAGACAAAAAAAGGTAGATTTTGAAGAGGTTTTTCAGTTGGAACCTGCAGAATTGAACATTTAATTGAATATTTATGGGGTGTAGTAAAACAAATACAGCATGATTTATTTCGGGAAAATAGTGGAAATTACCTATTTTGTTTCACCAGCCTGCATTGGCTTGCAGTCAACGAGGCAGTTCAGTTCAATGAACTTTAGCCTTACGGGAATAAGCTGTTAGCTGAAAGTCGGAAAGTGTAGCAAGAGTTGCCAACTGCAAGTATGCAAGGCTTCTGTTTCATGCTGAAAGGAAGTAAACTAGTTCATGGGATTGTAAATTAATTCCAAACAATCAGCATGTTTCAAATCACAGACACAGATCCCTGTTTTTTATGCTGGTTATTCTGGGTCTTGGAGTCTCGGACTTTATGACTAAAAAAAGTAAAGTAGAACAGCCTTACTGCCCCAATGATAATGCAAACAAAGGCTATAGAAATCCACAAAACTTGAATGTGGAAGTTTCTCTGTTTGATAATTTTTTTTCACTTTTATTGAAGGCTTTGTAGAATAAAAGCTTGGTGGGAATGATGAGTACTGCCTGGGCCGTCACATCTCTTGGTCAAAGAAACAATTTCTTTTCAAGTATTGTTTAACTCATTTTGTATTTCAAATTATTGCTTCTTTCTGTCCATTGTAATGTGACTGAACTCAAAACACTTGTGAATATACAAATTTACACAAATGAGAAGTTCCCAAGGTAATGCTGGAATGTGATCACTTGCTGCACTGGCAGACAGAATGCCTTTTGATTATCCACAGTCCCCATTGTGGCAAAGTCCCTTTCCAGAAATCAGCTGACAGGCACTGAAACTCAACCATATGACTGAATGCAGCATACAGTCTCCAAGGTTGTTTTCCAATACTCAACTTCGGCTCCATCTCAGGCTTCAACTGTTTTTTTACTAGCTGACTTTGAAGCTGTAAGTGAAGTAATCAGTCTAATAGTGCCACAGAACATCAAATAAGATGCAAAAAAGCCCAAAATGACAGTAATCCAATGTAATTTAAATGCTTCAGGCCCACATTGGTTTTGGGAACAAAGCCTGAGACGGAGACGAAGTTGAGTATTGGAAAATGGCCCTAATCTTAGAAAGTGTGCCACATATCCGCCAATTTTTGCCAGTGCCAAAATGACATCATGAGACTGTGACTGCAATCAATGGCAAGTATCTTTCAGTCAGCTAATAACAAATTATTCATATTGCCTGACAAGGTCAAACAATGAATGAAGGCTAAACAAAAACGTGTGCGGGGTATACCATTGAGAAGTTTAGGGAGGTTATTTAGAACTTTCTTCTGTGAGAATTTTTCAGACGTGTTAAAAGTGACTGAGTAATCAGAAGTTTTCCCATACTTAAAAGCAAGAGTCATTAGATTAAAACAGTTTCAGTGAGGTAGGCATAATTTGGTTATTTTCGATTTGAAGAAATCTGCATTTTAATTTAATAAAACTGTCCTCCACACGTCAGAATGAATCAGCTGCTAGGCCTCTTTTTGGCAGACTAGTCACATATGTCCTCTTGTACTCAGTCAAATTGTTCAAGGAGTTTAAGCCATAAAAACCGTACCCTATCCAAATATAATCAAGATAATGTGTCACTGGAATTCCAGATTTCATTATTTTAAGAAAGAGAAAAGCAGCAACACAGAAAGAAACGCCAGGGCACTTGCTTGTGCAGAGAGTGTGAATTATGCTTGTGCAGAATTTCTGTACTGAAACTGATCAGAGCACCACATTCACATTACGATGCATATTCCTACACGTCTCGGAATTGTTACAACCACTTGCAAATAATCGACTAACTGTGATTAGTTCTTGCATGATTAATCGATTAGACAAATTCACTACTCGCCCAGCGGTAATCTAAACTGTATGACTCATTGCAAAAATGGTGTATCTGAGAACAAATTTAAGTGATTCAGTCTTAAAGGTGGACCCTACAACTTGCTGGGCAATATCCCTTTAACAAGATAATCAGAAATTAAACTTAAAAGCACTGGTCCAAATTTCATGGATCTGTTAGGATTTGTTAAGAGCAGAGAATCGTTAGGCTCGTGCGAGGAGAGGCACAAGGAAATTACAGAAAGAAAACAGCTTGTAAGTTAATCACAGGACCAACAGCGACCATGGAATCATCCACAGGGCAGACTAGAGAGGCAAAAGAATTTTCTACCATCATATCTACAGCACAAGCCAAGAAAAGAAACAGAGGGATTAAACTGAATGGTGGTCATGAAATGAGATCTCATCTTTGTACCCTCACAGTAGTCCTAACTTTAACTATGCCTCATCTGAAAAAAAAAAAGTTTCCAAAATTCCCCCGCATTTACTCCTGAGAACCACTTAGGCCTGTCACGATACAAAGCCTCTTCTAAGGAATTGAGGTTAGTTTGGCAAAAAGGCACTTACATGCTAATTTAAGTAGGAGAATCCAGACCTGTTGCTACGCCATGTGTGTTTTTATGAGAATCATTGATTTTGCCATGTCTTGCAGAACCACACTGCCAATCAATCATGGTAATTTAATATCGCTGTGGTTACTGCTCGTTAGCTAATAGTCTTTGTTGTAACGTGCAGCTGCAGATGAATTTGTTACCAGTATTAGCTTGAGAGTATTAACACGAAGTGCTGTTACTGCCATGTTTACTATGATGGTCTATACGGGAGCAAATCTGTTTCAAATTTACCAATTTTTTGAGCTGGAATTGCAAGAAACTACGAGAATGTACATGTATGCTCTTGATCAGACAGGCAGTATACACATGGTCTTACATCATGTGATTAATTCAAGATGGCTGAGCCAATTTCTTTCTGTGTTAAATCTGATACATTTTGTGCTTTCACAGGTGATCTTTCCATTACATTTTGCAATGAATAACACTTTAAGGTAAACACTGATCACGTGTGTCATATTTATCTCCAACAATTCTCTGGAATGAAAACTTTTTGTCTGCTATTACTTTTTAACAGTTTCCTGACATTGGTATTACATTGAAAAACAAGCGCGCTGAATCTCTGCAGGACCAAGCGGAACACAGAAAATTATTACATAAAAGTGGAAGGCCAAGTTTTATAACAGAAAGTAATAAAACAATAAAAAAATATTGTACATGTCAAATACAAGCATTGTTTGTTCCCTCAATGTGATCTGAGAGTAATGCGTACTAATCATTTTCCCACACCAATGAGTATTGAGAGTAACACACGCAAATGCAATCCCTGTATACACGTACTGTCGCCATTCAAGGTATGCAGGCATATACATGTAGCACTGCACAAACGAATGCTCCTCACAAGTTAATTCAAGAAGGCAGTAACAAGTAACAGCGGATGACCCCAGAATGAATGTTTCCATCACAGGTCATTCAAACACTGCATAGCTTGTCTTGGGAATGGATGACTAGTGACTGATATGCAAGGAATTGGAGAACTCCGCTCCAATCCGATGGTGCTCAGCAGTAAACTCGGTAAACAAAAAATAACCTGTTACAGCACTGTCTGGGCCCAACAAGATCAAGGAAGGAGTCTTTGATTTCTGAGAGAACAGAAGATAAGAAGATGGCCTGCTACAAAAAAGATTTTCAATTGAGATGTCAGTGATCCAGGAAACACTATTTGCTGAGTGATCATGTACCATCCAGAACACAAGCACCTGAGACATCAGCTCCAACTCTGTGACTGGCTTTGTTTCCTACTAAAGAGATTCAGCCAAGAAGACTTCTGGGCAAATTCTCTTGGCTGGTTGGTATTGATAGCATGATTCATCAAGGAATGCAGAAAGTACTAAGCATCTTGCACTGAAACTGCTAAATTAAGGCTGGGGCTATCATTGCAGCCTTACTTA